TTTGTGTACTATAGTGATGTTCTTTTGGAGTATGTTGTACACCTATCATTTGTTGGGTTTAAAACCCTAACACCATGCCACATAATATCCTTTTTTTTTTACAAAACCGAGTAAACTTGTTGTTATAAAAAATATTTAATAATAGTTTCTGAACAAAATTAAAATTTATTAAACTTTTAAATCACTTCATCACTTATCCTAATATTTTAATAAATAATATAAAAACTCATAACATTATTATTATAGTGGTAAAAAGGTCTATTTCTTTGTTATACTATTATATTAATTGTTGATGTAATTTAGGAAAAAGCCTACAGGGGCATTTTAGGAAAATTGCTTTTATTATTTTTGTTTCCCGGTTTTAGACTTTGAGTCAAACTCTTTTTTATATCATTGTAAATATGTTATGTATATAGGTATTTAGAATGAAGTTTTCCAGCAATAAAGTTTTCCACCAAGCAAAATCATAAGTCCCGTTTTTCTTATTCCATGTTATCACGCTTGTTTTATCTTCCTAGGGTGTTCTCTTTCTTTTGCAACAAGGTAGTATCAGTTTGATACCACCTTTCACTTGGTATTAGAACACAAAAGAACACATAAGAGATCCGACAAACCAATCTTTCACAACCCTACCATGGAATGACTGAAGATGCAATATCCCATCTTGACCAGAACCAACTATGTTGTGTGGGAAATTAAGATGGAGGTGTTCATGCAAGCATAGTAGGGGTCAGATGCAATTGAACCTAAAAATCCCCATAATACATTTGGTTTCAAGAAAGATAAGATGGCTATGACAACGATTTACCAAGCCATCCCGGAAGAAATCCTTTTGTCGATAGCGGAGAAGCAAACAACAAAAAAGTGTGGGAAACACTCAAGACTATTGTAACGCCCGTGTTTCTGGGTAAAGCATTAATGATGATGTAATAGTCTAGGTCAACCATTGTAACCTACTTTCAAGTAATAAAGATGAATTATTTGAGTATTATGTGAATTTGTGTGCTTTATACTTGTTTATAATAATATAATAAATAAATGATAAAAATAAAGTGTGAGATAAACTTGATATCGATGAAGGAAGTTGTATTGGTCGTGACAAGGATCCCGGACATATAAAGAACAACAAAATCCGAGTTATAACGAAGAAGTTTGTAACGACGTAAATTTTCAAAACAATTTTTCATTTCTTTAAAACATAATTTCATTCAAGACAAACCATAAAATCCAATGTAACATAGTCATAATACAAAACATGTCAAATCCAAAGATCAAATATATCCAAATCCGTCTGTGTGTGTGTGTGTACGAGTCATGCCGGCGCCTTCCCACGGTCCTCACTAGTACCTGAAACACATAACACAACATCTGTAAGCATAAATGCTTAGTGAGTTCCCCAATATACCACTTACACACATACACCTTTCAGGCCATACACCACACGACCTTCGGGTCCATGTGTCTCAGGGGACTTCCGTCCCAACCCGGTAACCTTCCGGTCCTATCCGTATCAACCTTCTGGTCCATAACTCCCTGACCTTCCGGTCTACATCATAGTGCCTTCCGGCCCATAACATAATGCCTTCCGGCCCATATCAAGCATATCATACATATCGCATACAAAACATGCAACTAATAGCATACAATGCATATATCTTATAGCATACCAGACCTTCCGGTCACACATAGGTACCTTTCCAGGTACAGTATAGTGAGAAGACTCACCTCGTATGATGTCTAATGTCTCACATGCTCGATATCTCTGAATCTCGAAACCATGACCTAGCCTCGCCTTATCACATCAAATAATCATTTTAAATCATTAACGACTCTCAAGGCTATACTACGTTCCTTTCTACAATTCCACAGAAGGGTAAAAGACCATTTTACCCCTCCCTGACTCAAAAGTCCACATGTTGACGAAAACCCTAAAAGTCAACAGCAAGCAGTACGCGAGGCGTACCAACTCCTGTACGCGGGGGTACCCTTGCACTCCAGAAATGGGGAACGCGAGACCCTATGCGGTGCGTACTGGGATTACGCCCAACGTAAATCCCAGTTTCTCACTTTCTTCATTTTAGTTCTTAAACAGTTAAGACATAATCTCATATTCCGGATCTGGCCATTCTAACACATCTTAATCCATAAAGTCGAAACCTTTAAGCCTTTGCATGGCTATAATGGTTCCCTCACCTTCTAACACATTTCCTTTCTCCTCCAAAGGTCTAGATCTCATGCATGGTCCAACATTTATGTCCAAGATTGCATTTTTATGAACATACAACTCATATAGTCCTGGAATATGATAGATCTAGGCCAATGGGGACTATTTGCTCATAAAGTCTCCATCTTGGAACCTTAAACCCTAGAATTTGGTCCAAGAAGCACACAACACAAATAACAAGACAAGTTCTGAACTTTATACCTCAGGAAGAAGCTCCAACCTCTGTAAACCTCAGATCTACTCTTGTCCACTAGCTTCTAGCTCCAACAATGACCTCCTCTTCTCTTTCACCACCTTGAAATGGCACTTTGAAGCTTAGAATACTCACACACAAGCTAAGGACGAAGGGAAGGCTCTCTTAGGGTTTCTTTCTGTGATATGGTGGCTGAGAGACAAGACCATCTCATTCCTTTTATAGCCCTCAAGTCATATTAGGGTTTTGCATCTGGGCCGGTTACGCCCGGCGTAACTTGGGCGTACCTGGATGAATCCGCGTACAAATTAAGCGCGTGAGTACATGCAGCGTACTCCTTAGTACGCCCAACGTACTCACAAGCTTAACATTCTCACAAGGGACCTAACATGACAACTTGGAAAAGAAGAAGGGTTAAAGGGTTGAACCTGAATTTCGGGTTGTTATAATTCCCCCCCACTAGAACCAGACTTCGCCCTCGAAGTCTTATACCGAAAACAACTTCGAATGCTGCTCCCGCATCTCTGACTCTGACTCCCACGTCAGCTCGGACCCCTTCCGATGCTGCCACTTAACTTGCCCCACCGGTATCTCCTTGTTCCTCAGGACCTTGATCTTCCGATCCCAAATCACAATTGGTTTCTCAGCATAATTCAGGCCAACATCCACCTGAATATCCTCCAGCGGCACTTCCGCCGACTCGTCGGCTATACACTTCCTCAACTGAGACACGTGGAAGGTATCATGAATCGGGCTCAACTCCGCAGGTAGCTCCAAACGATATGCTACCCTGCCTACCCTCGCATTCACAATTCATAATTCTTATTCATTCAGAAATCATAAATCACTTACTTTAGATACTTCCAATTTATGGTTTTACGAACGTCTTGACGAATGGAGTTAAAAATAATTTTCAAGGAGGTGAAGAACAAAAGAAGCGATTATTGTTGTGTGTCTACGTAATGAAGATGATGATGATGTTTGGTGGTGGTAATGAAATCACCACCACCGTTACTGACACTAAGGGTTAATCTAGAATCGTTGGTAGTTTATGACGAGGACTGGTGGTGAAAATAAAGGAATGCATCGGTGGTTGAGATTGTGGGATGGACTAGGGGAGTTGACAGGTGAAAGGAAGTGAAATATGGGTGTTAATTGACGACAATTGGTGGTCACCAAAGATGAAGAAAATGAAGGTGAGGATGCATATTTTCCGATTAAGAGAGAAAGAGAATCAGAAGAGTGATCTATAAAGAGAACAAGAAGAAAGAAATTTGGGGGGGGGGGGTAGGGGTAGATAGTGTTCATTTGTGTTCTTAGTATCAATTTAGTTTAAGCAAAAAGGTAATATTAATAAAAGACAAAGAAATAATTTTATGTAGCTCATAGATTATTGGTGTAAGTTTCAAAACCAAAAAAGATCATTAATGCAAGTTTAGATATCATGAGGATCATTCGTATAAAAAAATTAACAAGATTATGACTTTTGGTCGTAAGGAGAAATTAAATTACCTCATATTTTTTATACCTACAATTATTTTTACCCATTAAAATTATGACAAATCACCATTCAATTTAATTTTTTTAATATATTCATAATATAACCTTAATGAGTTAGTTAAAAAAAATATGAAATAATAACACTCATCATAATCTTATTAGGTAGGAATATTTATAGGTATAAAAAATAGAAAATAATTTAATTTACGGTAAGGTAAATGGTAAGGGACCAATTATATAATTTTATATTTAATGATATCTATTTATTTGACTTTTTTAAAAGATTCAAGGAAAAGAGACGCATAAAAAATGGGTGCACGTTTTGAAGTTTGAACTCCACGTATTTTTTACGTTCTGCTTCAATTCCAATTCTTTTGCCGCCCCCTCTTCTTCCTCTCTGCTTCATCCATGGTGTCGGCGATCTTCGCCTGAAACTCTATTCAAATCCTCACGCAGTGACGCTACTTCTTCATCTTCTTTACACAGCTTCATGAAGCAACCGATCGTTTAATCAATCATTTCTTTTGCTTAATTCGAAATCCGATAATAACGATTACCGCTGCCTTCGATTCAAGGTACGCAAAACTTTAACTTAATTTTACCTTCAACATCAGCGCTATTTTTTTATGTGATCCTGATTTAGGTTTAATTCTGCTTTTTCTGGAATTTACTTCCATACCTAACTTGTTCTTTAACGATTAGGCGATTATGTATCTTCCATGTGACTTCTGTACTGGTTTATTTAAATTGCTATTATTTTCTAGTTCGTTTTACTTCAAGTGTAAGGATTAAAGTGTGGTTTGCAAAAAATATTCGAGCATTTTTATTATTATTATTTTTTTAACCTGAAAGCCGATGCTAACGCTTATCTCACCCATGATTCCAGGTAGTCAACTATCTTCTTCGCTATACCTTTCATGATTATTACTTCTGTTTTAAGTTGCAATATCCTGTTCATCATCGTTCCCGTGATTACACTTCAAGTTTTTAATCTGCCTTTTTTACTATTGAATTCATGCCTAACTTGTTCTTTACCGGTTAGGCAATTACTCTTTTTTTTTTTTTTTTTTTTTTTTCACGTGACTTGTTAGATATAGTTAGTTGAGTTTCTATTATTTTCAACCTTTTGGGCTTATAAATTTATAGATTAAAGTGTGATTTTCCAAAAATAATCATATCTTTTAGTGACCCTACTATATACTTTAATGTCCTTTGTCTATAAAGAAGGCAGCAGTGTTAATATATTATATTTAAAGATTAAAGAATTGATCGTTATCAATTTCTTTTGGTATACAATATTATATTCCTGAGTAGGGTCATTTCTGAATTAAAATTATTCGAGTAGATGGCCTGATGTGTATGTCTTGGTTTAAACCTTGTGAATATTTTGATGACCTGAACATAAATTGATTCGAGTGACATAACTTCCTGCTGCCTGACCCTAGTGATGTCTTTTTCTATCTCCCTCAAACTACACTGTCATCAACCACTTAAAGAAGTAAGAACCCTTGGTAGTATTGATTTTAGACGTTTATGCCACCATAGACATTTATATATTATTAAAATATTATTTTTTGTGCATGTTTAGTGTATTTTAGCTGGGAGTAATTCTAATAAAGCAAATTGGAAAGTGTTGGAGGAGTGGAGCTCATCAAAATGGAGAATTATGAAATACTAGAACAGATAGGAAAAGGCTCTTTTGCTTCTGCACTACTTGTGAGACATAAACATGAAAAGAAAAGGCAAGGCTTTCTTTCTTTCCATTGGTTTAATCTTAATTTTCATAATTATTGATCTTTAGCAAAAGCAAAATAGGCTTTTATTGATTAATGTATTGATTGCATTCCATTATTATCCTTTCACAGGTATGTGTTGAAGAAGATTCGACTCGCCCGACAGTCTGATAGGACCCGCAGATCTGCCCTCCTTGAGGTTGCTATATATTTATTTATATTATTTTCCATAATATCAATCAAACATACATGATACATGATACATGATACATGATACATGATACATGATACATGATACATGATACATGATTGTAGTTCCATTTTTTTTGTATGCAAAAACCTAATCAGATCATGTATTATGCAGATGGAACTTATTTCCACAGTGCAAAATCCTTTTATAGTGGAGTACAAAGATTCTTGGGTTGAAAAGGTTTGTCAGTTAGACTTTTAGGGCTTGTCACATTATGTTTTTGAATTAGAGAAAAAGAAATTAAGATATTTTTCTATTGTAGGGTTGCTATGCATGTATTGTAATAGCATATTGTGAAGGAGGAGATATGTAAGTCATAATTTCAGAATTTCTCCCCCATCTTATGATCACTTACTATAATTTCTTTTTTAATTATTTTGATGATTTGTTCATTTAGGGCGGAAGCAATAAAAAAAGCCAACAGTGTTCATTTTCCAGAAGAGGTTTGTGTTTTGTGTTTTTATTTCTTCATTTCAGTTTTCATGCTGACTGTTTTACTTAAAAATATGTGCAGAAGGTCTGTAAATGGCTTGTTCAGTTACTAGTGGCACTTGATTATTTGCATGTTAATCATATTATTCATCGTGATGTCAAGGTTAGTGATATATAAATCTATCTAGGACAGTATTTATTCGTTGATAATATTTATATTTTATGATTCCAGTTTGATGTATTAATATGATGCATTTCCATTTCACTTCAGTGTTCAAATATATTCTTAACAAGAGATCAAGATATCCGACTTGGTAATAATTAATCATTCATCTTCTACTCTTAACATCCTATATCTCCATATTAGTCTAAGTTTGCTTTTGTTCTTTTCAGGTGATTTTGGTCTTGCAAAAATGTTGATTTCTGAAGATCTTGCATCATCGGTATTTAATATTGACATATTTTTTTTTATGGGGTTTAACTTTTATAAGTTTAACAAACGTTTGTTTGTAATTTTAGGTTGTGGGAACTCCTAGCTACATGTGCCCTGAACTTCTTGCAGATATACCTTATGGCTCTAAATCAGATATATGGTCCTTAGGATGCTGTATGTATGAAATGACTGCATTCAAGCCTGCTTTTAAAGCTTTTGTAAGTTGATCTGAATTCTAATCTTTGTTAAATCAATACGTGAAACAAACATCTCATTATTTTGGAACAGGACATGCAATCTCTCATCAATAAAATCAATAAATCTATAGTATCTCCACTCCCGACCATGTATTCTGGCACATTGTGAGTTACTAAAATTTTGCAATAAATTTAATTTTCGTTTCTGTTACTTTTTTTTTTTTTTTTTTCTTTTTCTATAACGTAATTAACTTCTAAATCATCTATTTCTAGTCGAGGGCTTATCAAGAGTATGCTGCGGAAAAACCCTGAAATGAGACCAAGTGTACGTAAAATCCAAATTTTCAAAGATGAGGAGAAAGCGCATTTACGTCTTTTCCCCTTTTGTTATTGAATCTTTCTTATATAACTTTCAGGCTGCTGATTTGCTCAAACATCCACACCTTCAACCTTATGTACATAACCTCCATCTTAATTCCAACAACCCTAGACGCCATACACTTCCAGTTCCAGTTCCAGTTCCAGTTCGTTTATCATCAGGTTACAACTACGAAAAGAGAACAACGTTCATTGAGCCTGAACCTAAAACTGTTCATCTCCACAATGAGAAAAGGCGATCTTTCAGCAGCGACAGGGCTTTGAACCCTAGTATATCTGAATATGATCACAATTCCTCTTACTCTCAGAATTCCCATAGAAAGCTATCCATTGGAAGTATTGAGGAATATATCCACACTGAGAAATTAGTTGCTGCTGCTAAGACATCAAATGGCGGCAGAACCCCGAGACTCACTCCTGTTTCTACTCCCAGAAGACAAACTGTTACACCCAAAATAATCAGAGGGACTTCAGATCGTGATTTGGTATGTTTATATCTAATTCACCAAATAACAGCAAACGTAGACAATCATCCTCACAAAATTTTCAACATTAGGTTATTTGTGGTTTTGCGTTCAGGTTCCAGTATCACAAACAGTAACACCGCGTAGGCAATCATCATCATCACAAATAAGCCGAAGGACATCTCTACCCTTATCATCATCAGCAAGGTCCACAATAATATCCCACGTAGGTTTCGACTCTCCAGATGTATCCATGAACGCCCCACGGATCGACAAAATGACCGAAGAGCCCTTGCCCTTGATGCTACCAGTCCATAGAATGTCTTCAACATCCGCTCAATGTTCTTCCGGAACTTCCCCAACCAGAACCAGCATCATGGACCGGTCAGTCACAATCGACAAGTGCACGGTGAAGACGGTGAACCCGATCCCGAGCCATGAGTTGTTGGCCGGTTCGAGCCGTTCGTCGTCGGATTCACGGGGGCAAGGGCAGAGGCGGAGGTTTGACACGTCATCGTACCAACAACGCGCGGAAGCGTTGGAAGGGTTGTTGGAGTTCAGTGCACAGTTGATGCAACAAGAAAGGATAGAGGAATTAGCGGTGTTGTTGAAGCCGTTTGGGATTGAGAAAGTGTCGCCTAGAGAAACCGCTATTTGGTTATCAAAAAGTTTCAAGGGAGCTGGTAGTGTTGTTGGTAATTTGTAATTTGTAATTTGTTTTTTTGGATTTTTGTAATTGTGAAGATTGTAGTTGGAATGACTAATGAGGCCAAGGTGATTATGAACGACTCGTTCATGGAAACAAGTTTCGGATTTTCTAACTTTTGTTCACTTCCGATCCCGTTGGTATTGGTGTGGATCGTTCAAAACCGGATATCTCTGCATAGTTCACACTGATTACCGAATCCATAACCAAATTTCCAGTTAGGTTTTTTAGGTTTGTTTTTGAATATCTTGTGGTGTGGGTGTGTTTAAGGATGGTATACACATAGTTATAAAAAAACGCGGAGTCTAGTTGGATCCCTCTTGGGAGACGGTTACTCGACTAAAAAAGTTGGGTCGCTTTGGTGTTGGTGATCTTAGATTGATGAACATTGCACTTGTTTCAAAATGGTGGTGGAGATTTAGAGTGGAGCAAAATTCGTTTTGGTCCTCTTGTATTAGGGCATTGCATAATACTAAAGGAATTGATGGGATGTTTTTTGCAAGATGTGGGATGCTGGGGCCTTAGCTAAACATTTATCAGGTTAATGGGAGCTTGATAAATGGAATATTGGTCTTGATGATTTGTTTTTGCAGGAAATTAGGAGATGGGAAACATACTCATTTTTGGAAAGAAAAATGATGTGGTGATATAATTTTAAGAATTGAATTCCCCAAGTTGTATAAGATTGAAAGTGAAAAGAATCGCAAGGTCTCGGATATGATTAATATTGGTAACGATATTGTTTTTCAAGGCGTGTGAAAGAGATGTCCGAGAAGTGGTAGGGAGTTGGCTGAGTTGGAGAAGCCGTCAAGTATGGTGGCAGGTACAACTTTGTCTAGAATGACAAATTCATGGGAGTGAAAGGCTGCGAGTCTAACATTTTTTTTGTTAAGACTCTTAGAGATTTAATGGATAATAATTTGGATATCCATAATCATATGGTGGATTTTCTTTGGATGAATTGGGTTACAATTAAAATGAATTGTTTCGTTTGGAGGTTGCTTTGCAATAGAATTTCAGTGGCTTGCAAGCTTGTAGAAAAATGAATTTTGTTGGATTCTGTTACTTATCACTTCTGCAGGGAAATAGAAGAACCAGTTGAGCATATTTTTATGTAGTGCTCGTTCTCAAGGAAGATGTGGTCTTGGTTTAGTAATTGGAGTGGTTTCCTGCCTTGCATTCCTAATAATTCAAATGAGCTTAAAATGTTTTGATTTCCTTGGCATTGATAAGAAGAGACTAAAGCTTAGATTGAAGTTGATATACTGTGTTGTGGAGTATTTGAAGAACTCGTAATGACTTGGTTTATAAGAAGAAGAGATGCTCACTTCTCAAGGCGGCAGATGATATTTAAATCCTTGCGTTTATTTGGGTAAAGAATAGATCGAAGTTTAATTTTATCTCATGGTTTAATTGGTGTATTTCTCCTTTATATGTTTGTAACTCTCTCTCTCTCTCTCTCTCTCTCTCTCTCTCTCTCTCTCTCTCTCTCTCTCTCTCTCTCTCTCTCTCTCTCTCTCTCTCTCTCTCTCTCGTATAAAGTACATGTCAATTTTATCTCGTGGTTTATTTGGGTAAAGAATAGATCGAAGTTTAATTTTATCTTGTGGTTTAATTGGTGTATTTCTCCTTTATATGTTTGTAACTCTCTCTCTCGCGTATAAAGTACAAAATAAAAAGAATGAATTAAACTTCACCTGCCGACATCCATGGTTTAGTCATGAGTGGACCCTGGACGTCTAGACACCTGCAAGGTGCATGACAGAGAAAAGCTCAGAAACGGTGTTGCATGCTTACAGTAATAAAAATTAAACCAATATTGGGCTGAGGCCCGCTTCCAATTGATTTCAATTAATAATAGGGTTGTAATCAGATTTTAAATTTTGATTTGCTTTTGAAGGAAACATTATTATATTTATATATAATAAAAAGGTTGTAATCAGATTTTAAATTTTGACTATAATATTTTTTTGTATGTTAGCAGCTTTGGTCATAAAAATACAAAGTTGTTTCTGTAATTTAAGAAAAAGTCTTGTGTAATTTTTTTTCATAGAAATGGTCTTTGTTTAAATAGTATATTTTTTAAGTTTGATCGTTTGGCTGTAATACTTTCTTATGTTGGTAGGATTGGTCCTTTTATAAAAAATAAATTACAAAACTATCCCTATAATTTACAGAAAAAGTTTCCATGCAAATTTTTTTTTTACAACAAATGATCCACGTGTTAAAAAAGTTAGAAAAATGATACTTGACTAATAGAAAATTTACATATTACTCCCCTTGCAAAAAAGATATTGAAACTTATTAGTTTTGGAAAAACAATTGTAAATTACCGATGCATCCCCAAAGAGTTTTATTGCTCTTACGAAGCATGTGGTTTGAAGTTTGTTTTGATTTTGGTTTCTATCCAACCCAAATGACTATTCTATTTTTGCTTGATATTTTTCTAATTTTATAAAATTTTATTATTTCTAATAATATTATATTTTCATTAGTTTAAATTAATCAAAAAAATTTAACTATTATTAATCTTATTTTTTTATTTAGTAAGTAAAATGTTTTAAAATTAATAATTATTATTTGTATTAAGATATAACATGACTTGAAAGATGAAGCAAAAGATAGAGGGGGAGTAACGTGGTCCAATGTAACAATAAATTTTGAAAGATGAAAAATCATATAACATATAGCTTTTTAGATTTCAAAACTTTTTACATTACTTGTAAAAAATTTATAAATTGATATTGGTATGACCTATAAATCAGCTTTGTAAAAAAGCTCTCATATCATATCGTGGATGTTTAAGGTTTATGATTTGTTAAAAAAATTAACCGAAAATGCTATTATTGTGGATGAGTATAGCTCAAGGTTTTCAAGAATAAGCCTAGTAAATGAAGCAATAATATCATGCAACAACCTTGTCATATTGTAAATAATAACAAGAATGAAATTCCCTGCTCTTTGCTTCATAGAGCTGTACCATAGGCATTGATGTTGAACGTTGACTTTGACCTTATGAGCCGATGTGGCAGTTGACTCTTTTGCACCAAGAGCTTTGACCATGTGGAGTTGCTCGTCATGTTCCTTTCTAGCATACCTAACTTAATTGTACGCTGGAAATGATATAGAAGATTTGGTTCTTTTTTTTTTTTTTCGTGGGGTTGCTTTACTTTAATTAGATTCTTTGAAACTTGCTTTACAAACCAAAACATCGCAATTCTATGACTTCAAAACTTGAAAGATTAGGTTAAAACGGCTTTACGATATAAAGGATTTGAGGTTCTGTTAGATAGATTGTTCATTATGTTTTTAATGATACAATGCATTTCATATACAAAAATACTTAGTAATAAATTAGTTGCAAACTGGTAGTCATTCCCTTTATTTTTAAAATACATGATTTTAACCTAGAGTTTAGAATCAACAGATCGATAACACAGTATCTGTATGCCTGAGTATAAATTTTCTTCACCAATAGCCATTTCCTAATTCTTTTCAAACATTAAAAAGAAATAAGTTTGCGTATAAGACATGACGTGATTACAGTGATATCAATTGAGCTATTTTTATTGAACTAGTGCGGTTCCGATCACCATAATCAGACCGTGAATCTTACCACTTTATATAAAACAAGTGGTTATTCTATTGAAACGAAGGAAAACACAGACAAGAAGTGACCCTAACTATGTGATCAGAGTTACAGAAATGAAGAAACGGACCTGAGATTGTCGACTCCGGCGAGTGCGGCGGCGGCGGCGGCCCTGCCTCTTTCTTTCTTCTTGCTGAGTCCTCGGCTTTCGGATGGGGAAAGGTTTATAAACTTATCGGTAGCAAGAGATCCGTGATGGGCTTCGGTTAAATATTGTTTTGGTTGGGCTTCGTGAAGGTCCAATACATCAATTAATATATATAACAAAAAAGCTTTTGGAATACTAAACGCTTTTACGCCTCATTATTTAAAAATAAATTATAAAAATTATTCATGTAATTTTTAGAAACATAGAAAATGTCCTTTTTTTTAAATGATCTAGTGTTTAAAAAAGGGAAATGATTCGTACGCAATAGTTTTTTTGTCATACACAACAATATATTAATTATAGATCTTTTGAAATCACGGTCGATATATTCAAATTTTTTATATAGATAAAAAATAATAAATGTAAAATAAAACAAAAATAGTGTTTATTGTAAGTAATTATGAATTAACTTTTTAAGCAAAATAATCATAATATTATTATTAGGATATGATTTTGTATTTTCAAAATTTGTATTTGAATTGAATTTGATTTGTTACTATAAAAAAAAGAAAATTATAGAAATTATAGAAAAATGCCACGTGTCAAATAGACATTCTAAAAAATTAACACGTGTTATTTTTAGGTTTCATTTACTAGAAGAGGTAGAGTTTAAAACACCAATTGTTGTGTATAAAAAAACATTCTTGTATACAAATCATCTCCCTTTAAAAAATTCAAAAAAATATCCATTCTTAATATAAAATTTATAGATTACATAAAAAAAATGAGATTAATAAAATCTCTTCTCTCTTCTCTCTATTCTAATAAATGAATAAGTTTATTCTCTTATTGCCAAATGTTATAATATTAGAAATCTTTATTAATATTATATGACACATATCATATCACATGTTAATCTATTAATTCTCCATTTAAAATTTAAAATTTAAAATTTTTCATTCTAATTACATTAAAATAATAATTGATATATATATATATATATATATATATATATATATATATATATAGTCACATAATACGTTTTCATACGCCAATATAAATTGGAGTCAATCATATAAACCAAACCCAATAGCATGATGAACCAAAAGTCCTAGTTAAAACATCTATTGACAATAGACGGATACATTTGCATCCTCTATAAAGCAGGGATAAGAAAATTTATAGTTTTTTCTAGAACGACGAGTTAGTATATGCATGAGATTGAATACAAAACCTCATTGTTAAAAACACATTATTAGAGGCCATGTTAGTAAAGTTGGATAGCCCAATTTATAGGAAATTACCGGTTAGTTATGATTTTTGACTTTATTATACACGAGTTAAAATTGCCATGAAATATTAAAATAATTTATAAACTTGCTTTCTAAAATGCCATACAAAGCGGTGTTTAAACGAGCTTATTGAATTTTTTTATTTGATCCAAATATGTATTTTATTAATTCTAATAAAAATTAAACTTTTATATGTCATTTTATATTGTTTTACATATTTCAACCAACTTATTAACTAGTTTATAAAATATCTTCTTTTATCGGCTAAATTATCAGTTAGCAACTACTTTTTAAATATCAACTAATTTTTTAGTTATTTCGTCAAACATAGTCAAAATGTATTTTTATGTGATTCGTCAAAGCCATACGTTTATTGTAAAATCTATATTTGGAATGAATATAAACCCTACACAATCTAAAGAATAATTATACTAATGAGTAATATATATGGAATATATAACGATGCACCTACTCTTGTCCAAAATGAAGAAACAAGCGATGAACATGTACCCACCATCGAGACCACAAATGATTATAAAAAATGTCAAAAGTCTTAAAAAATGATCGAAAAAACAAAAGGATGTGGTGTTAGCTAAGGTGTATATCGACGTATCTGAAGATAAAGAAGGTGACAACCAAT